TGCTTCAGGAGAGCTAGAACAGGGCTGTGAAGTCTGAGCTGCTTACCTCAGAGGTCAGAGCAGGGCAGCGAGAGGAGTCCCGTAACTCTTTCAAGGCAAATCACTTAACCATCCTCGTCGCCTTTAATCCCTGGTCTGAAATGCAATTTAGTGTTATTAGTATTTAGAAAAAGTGTGTGGATCATGAATGCAAACTCTTCAATAAATTCACATTCTTGTTATCCACTGTACTCTGATTTCCAAAAGACTTTTAAAGCCAGCTCTTTGGCCACCATTCTGGCTGCTTTTTTGTTGTTAAAAGATATCACATGAAGTTGTGGGAATTGTCTGCACTCATTCTCCTCTTCTGGAGTTGATGTTTGGCAGTGGAAGAAAGCAGGAGCTGTGCTTCTGATCAACTGGATCAAAAGGCCAGGCTCACTGCTTTTGGTACTGATCTACTGCCCACTTTCAGAGTCATCCCCAGGAATTAAATTCTCCCTTTTTTACACACAGCCAAGTGCTAGCACCTATGTTCTGCCATTAGGAGAAGATTTGTGTCTTGTCCAAAATTATAGATTTTTTTTTTTTTTTTTTTTTTTTTTTTTATACAGGGTGAGGGCTCAGGCATTTCTGGCACCAAGAACCAGCCCTTCTCCATCACCATAGATTTTTAGTACAAGCCAGCCTTGCTAGAGGCCTCACAAAGAGGGCAGGTACTAATTTTCTTCACAGAAACATAGAATGGTTTGGTTTGGAAGGGACTTTAAAGATCATTTAGTCCCACCCCCCTGCCCTGGGCAGGGACACCTTCCACTAGCCCAGGTTGCCCAAAGCCCCGTCCAGCCTGGCCTTGAACCCTTCCAGGGAAGGGGCAGCCACAGCTTCTCTGGGCAACCTGTGACAGGGCCTCACCCCCCTCACAGGGAAGAATTTCTTCCTTAGATCTCATCTACACCTACCCTCTTTCAGTTTAAAACCATCACTCCTCATCCTATCCCTACCCTCCCTGATACAGAGTCCCTCCCCAGCTTTCCCACAGCCCCCTGTAAGTACTGGCAGGCCACTGTAAGGTCTCCCCAGAGCCTTCTCTTCTCCAGGCTGAACAGTCTCAACTCTCTCAGCCTGTCCTCACAGGAGAGGTGCTTCAACCATCTGATCATTTTTGTGGCCTCTGGACCCACCCAACTCTGTTCTCTTCTTGGTGCAGATGAAGTACAGCTCCATGTTATCCACAGGCGTTTGTTCACTGGGACTGGTGAAAGGAGATGCCTGTTGACACCAGCCTTTATTAGAGAAAACAATATGAATACATACATTGATCCATGGAAATCATGTATTTATTTGAGAGTGGGTCTGGAGAATTACCGTTTTTGTAATTTTTTCTATGTTTGGGTGATAAAAAAAGAAACTGGAGAGAAGGACTGAACCAGAATTTGAAGATCAGTTGTATCTAGAATTCAAAGAGATGTGACCGATACTATCAGTTTTCTCCTACTGTGGGTAATTCTGCTGATTTCTCTGGGAACAACTCTCACAGCAAAGCTAGCATGGTCTAGAGGGCTTGAAACCACCTCTCAGCTTCTGTCTGCTTCCCTCACTGTGCAGCAATGAGTCCCCGGAGGAAGGTAGTTTGAGGGTCTGTGACCCGTTTACAAGACATTGAGGGCTGCTTGGCAGGTGATTTGCCTTTGAGTCTGCAATTCGCTCCTGACGTGCCAGTTGGTTTGAGAGCTGCACACAAAGGCCGTGTTTTGGAAGAATATCCTCATCAGATAGGCAATGGGAGCAAGTTATTGCAATGTGTTTTGTGAAATGCTGATGTTCTCAAAGAAATGTCATCGCTTAACAAGTGAACTTGTTAAGAAATCTAAACTTCATTCCATAATCTTACTTATGCTGTTTATGCATAATATTTTGAAGGTGTGTGTTAATGATGTGCTTTGTAAGGTGCCGCATGTACCATTGTGTATGTAGAAAACTTCAATAAAAACATTTTGCTTTACAATCTTTGTATGGATGACTGCAAGTTATTTACTTATTCGTCTCTGTCCAATAATACTAGCCTTAAAGTCTTGTGGAACTATTGTGCCTTCAAGAGAATAATCTTCTAATGGAAGTAACTTTCTTGGGGAAGGACTATTTTATTATCCACTGATCAACTTTTGGACTTCTTTTTTTTCCATTCTGTTACTTGCCACTGTTCTTTAGAGGACACATGCCTGAAGCCATACAAAGCTTTGTTTCTTTTTCTTGTTGAATTAGTCCTATAGTTTCTATCTGGATTACTTAGATTTAGAGTATAATGCGATGTGAAACATAATCTTTTTCTTAAATATGGTATCCTAAGTATTGACCAGCATACAGCTCCAGAGGGCCTGTTGCTCTGCAGCCCTAATCTTGCACAGTAGAAGTGGGTGAGAATTTAGCAACTGAATTCAGGGGTTTCAAGATAGAGCCTTAAGTGCAGTTACCTTATGAATGGCTCATATCTCTAAGAAGAAACATTGTGCAAATTCTGCAGGTTATGCAAATCATGCTTTTACCCTTTTCGTCCTCTCTGAGTCAACAGACCTTTTCCTGATAGTGAAAACAACTGAGAAGATGTTTCTTACGAGTGTAAGGAGATGAGGGACTATGCCTATGGTATTTTCTATATAGCGAGTCAGAGGCAGAGAGAGGATTGTCAGCATGTCCTTCACCTCTGCTGTCCCATTACTGACTGTACCCCAGTTATTTTGTATTTTTGCTATTGTCAATACAGATTGTAATTTAGAATCTAATAAATGAGTTTTACCATGCTAAAGCATTCCACATGGCCTCTTTGCAGAATCAGTCCCTATCCCCTCGCTGAAGTCTTTATAAGTAAAATACACTTCCACCAGGTCATACTTGTTTCATTTAAGAGAAATGTCAGTGCAGGTCTGGAGCAGGCCTCTGTGACATACAGGGATTAGAAGAACATGATCTCAAGCCTAAGCTAAAGGAGTGTTAAGAATAATATAAAATTTGTGACTCTGTGGTATTAAACTGAAGAAATGAAGACAGGACAGCCAGGAATTGTGAAGAATCAGGGCACCCCACCAAGTCTGAGGAGGCTGATTTAGGTTTCATCTTCAGGTACGGTAAAGGTATGTAGGCCACGATAATTCTATGTAATTCACTCAAACTCTATGCTGCAACAACCAGCCAAAACCACTCATCACCTGTCGCCTGCTTTTGATCTTCTGAAATCTCTTATGACACCTGTCTGAAGCAATATAGAATAGCAGGAAATTTAACTTCTAGAAAAAAGAGGGTGTTTTCTGACAGGCATCCTGTCTGTCCTGAAATGAGGAGGCTTTAAGCAGTTGTTGGTGAAGTATTTGCCACTGTCTTTGGCATGAGATCTCTCTTTTCCTATAGGCAGGTTTATTTTTCAAAATGATGAAGAAACAGAAGTCACCAGGCAGTGCAATTTCTGTGCCAACAAGGCTTGATTATCACAGGACTCTAAAAAAGACATGATTCCTTTTGCGATAATTTGATCGGTGTCCTTTTCTGACCAGAACCTTCCTATTTGTGATACTTCTGAGCTTTGCTTGCAAAGTATCCACTGTAGGAAACCAGAATGAAATCTAATAATTTGGTTTGGGGATGTGTTTGAAGGAGAAGAAAATATCTTCTGTACAACGCAAATTTTTCAGAAATTGCCCCAGTGCTCTAGACTTTCAGATTAACGCACAGAACTTGGTACCTGTGCCTATAGGTGTTGGCTGGCTGTTGGGGAGAAAACCCATAGTGTCAGGGATCTTCTGAATCTTTTGTCCCTTTGTTATAGTGGAGACATTTGCTCCCATGATTTCTTTTGGTCTCAAATAGGTCTTTCATTTGAATTTTTTGTGTACAGGACAGTTCACAAAAAAACAACTTGTCCACAGTCTTCATAGAACAGAACTTAACTGCATATGCAAGGCATTAGTTTTGGGTCTTTCTTCTTCTTCCAGTACTGTTTGGAACAGAAAGGTTTCTAAGACAAAATGTTAAAGGAGTCATGAATATTTCTGCTATGGTTTGTTTGTATGTATGTATTGTGGCAGAGCAGTAAATCCCCTTTTTTTGTCATGGTTTTGAAAGCCAAGACAGCGATTAATGTGGTGTTTAATTTCCTTTTGTCTTTTTGTTCTTAAAAGTCTTTGTAACAATGTACAAATGCCCAGTAACAATGGCTGATCTTGCAAACCATGGCAAAATTTTGTTCCAAGGTAACACTGAGACCTTTCTGTATAGTTTATATTCTTCAACACATAGTGTGGACAGCTTAGTATGTTTTTTCAGTCTGTAAAACACTTTTGATAAGAAGTTATTTCTGCTATTTTTGATAAGGAGAATTTAATCTGTTGTCCACAATGTCAGACCAAAGACAAAACAGGCCTTCCTTTTGCTGTTTTATTTAGTTTACTGTATATACATCAGGGGTTTGCTAAAATACTGCAGAAGCTGAGCACGGAGGTATTTTGCTTCAGAAGTTATGAATTAAAACCTGACATCTTTTAAAATTGGTTTCCTCACTGCAACCAGTGAGTAAACTGTTCTCCTTGTTGGTCAGACTTTCTCCTGGTTTTGTTGTAGGGGGAATCTTCTCCCTGACAGTGCCCTTTCCTTGCAGAGGGACTCCTTAATTTGGGAGGTCAGGGAGCTATTCTGCTGGAGGTGGTAGATGCATTCAAGGCAAAGATTCACTGAGTATCTCTGCTGCCTTTAAACTCAGGAAACTTGGAAAAGCTGGGAGTTAGAGGTGAGAAAACTGGCTTTGGAGGTGCTGAATGCTCTGCTCTTCATCAGCTCATCACTGACATCAGTTAACTGCTGCCCCCTGCCCCCGACTCCGTGGCCTGAATGGTATTTGGTGTCTTAGTGATGAACATTGGGGTAGTTTTGCAGCATGCAGACATCCTCTGCTTTACCTGCAGCCAGAAGATGTTTGGCAAATAACTCTAGTTTCCCCAAGGACTTGATTTTCTATTTCTTTCTGCTTCTAGGTGTCAGTCAGTCTCTCCACCGCCTCTTTTGTCCCCACGAAGAAGCCCAGCCTACCCCCTCAGCGATAGTGAGGACTCTTGCCGCTCTGCTCGACTCACCAAAGTCTCCAGCTCCAGACTGCGCCTCAAGGACTGGAGCAGCCGCACGTCTACGCTGCAAAGCACCTCCACGAGCCCATCGGACACCGACTCCCCGAGCCACCCTCTAAAAGCCATTAGCGTGGGTGCTTTGGATAAAAGGCTGTCTGTATTCAAGGCTGAGGACCAAAAAGAGAGACCGAAGGAGGCTCAAGATGGGGACACGATAGGGAGCCATCCACTCGCCCGGAGCACTTTGTCCTTGGGCACTGCCACCAACTTGAGGAACCTCTCCCTCAGCCGGGCGAGTGTCCGCTCCCAGGCGCTGGACATCAGGCAGAAGATCACAGAATGGGAGTGCCGCCGGGAGCCCTCCCCCAGGATGAGCGTGTGTGTGGACAAGAGGGATGCTGGGGAGAGGTCGGGCAGTGAGAGCTGCCCCAGCGTGCTGACCTCTCCCTGCAGCGAGAAGACGTTCGATTTCAAAGGGCTCAGAAGAATGAGCCGAACGTTTTCCGAGTGCTCTTACCCGGAAACGGAGGAGGAGGAACTGCAGGACAGGGATTCCTGCCATCGGTTCGAAAAGAGACCGGGCAGGAGCGAGCCTCCTTCTGCTGCATTCTTCAAGGGCCATGTCAGGAAAGAGTCCTCTGCTGTGCTCAACAGAATACAGAAGATCGAGCAGGCACTGAAAGAGCAGCCCGGCAGAGGCCTCCCCCAGTTGCCAAGTAGCTGTTACAGTGTTGACAAAGGGAGAAAAAAGTCTGTGACTCTGAGTACTGTGGAGGGACTGAGTGAAACCCTAAGTGATAGCAAAGGAGGGAGTATTTTGGGGAGTGAACCCGAAACACCTACTGAGGCTGAGAAAAGCAGTAAGACAAAACAGGGGGTTACTGCAAACTTGGCTGACCCTAAACTGCTGCTCGAAAGCCCAGCTAACACCGCGGTGAATCCTGTCCCCAAGCCCAAACGCACCTTTGAATATGAAGCAGACAAAAACCACAAAAGTAAACCAAGCAATGGCCTACCTCCATCTCCTACACCTGCTGCTCCTCCTCCCCTCCCATCCACCCCTGCACCCCCTGTGACCAGAAGGCAGAAGAAAGACTCGCGCTTTCACAGAAAATCCCAGAATAGGTAAAATTCAAGGAAATGTCTTGTACTCGATCTTCAAATAAATAAATGTGCTGTATTTTTAAAGTAACAATATTTTAAGTTCTTCCTCTAATGCAATGCTTTTGACCTGAGAAGTGCTAACAGCTGCTTGCAAGACAAGTATTTTTTCTGCTGGACCGCACTGATGAGGTACACTGGTACAATACCTTTACATGGCTACAGTTTTGGAGTTCTCCAGCCTGCATTCCTCAATCCCTGGAAAAAGCTCTAGGTCATGTGTGCTAAAGGTTATCTTTCTCATTTTGCCATATAAGCCCTTGATTTAAACTTGAGGTGTTTAATGGAGCATAATTTCCTTATCCTCTTGTAGTGGGACCATAGTTGAGCTGTCATAGTTTTATTTGCCTGTTCACTGCAAAACATACCTGCAGAGGGTTTGTGTTTCCAAAGCTTGTTATCGCAGCAGTTGTGTCAGTTTTATGCAATGTTGGTGATTTTATTTAATTTAGTGCTTAGAAATGTTGTCCTAAGTTACTCTCCATAGTTACTCTCAATAGCTGTAGGGATTAGTGCTGAGAAAACTGTGTTTTAGTACAGAAAGGCCTTTATATCCTTCCTGAGTTAGTAATGAGCAGAGTATATGGCTACGTTTCCACAGCAGCCTGTGAGCTTGACTTGTTTTAATTACATGATTCCTCTTGAGTTTTGGAAATGGTAAAACTCATTCTGCCCACCACTTAAAAAATTGTGGGCATAGTTGTTGGTAAGCATTCAAAAGTTCACCTATCTGTGCATGTGTAAGATACACACACACGCTCTTGTTATTTAGTGCTGAGCTTTGCAAGTAACTGCGAACTGGCATCTCAAATGTACGCTAACAATTCAGTATCTGGTGTTTGATGTTGTCTCAATTAATTAAAAGTTTATGTCAGCACAACCTGACCTGTATGGTGAGGCAGAAAAAGGAGAAGAACCTTCAGATGCTGTTCTTTATTTTCAAGAAACACCTGCTTCTGAAAGGGATCAAACAGCTCTGCTGATGTGCGTTGTTTCTCTTGAGAAAGGCGGGTGGCCATGTGGAAAGCCAAGCTCTAATTAGCAGTGCTTATCTTTGAGTTCTGGCAATAATCTTAGTTAGAGGAAGTAAATCCAGTTTTTAACAAGAGTCTGTGAAATAAAGTTGACATCATTTTGTTCAGCACAGCATTTCCAATGTACAGAAGACAGACAACAATTTTTAAACGTTCTGCTGTAAATTATAGACTTTATTGGAAAATGAAGGGGTAAATGATAAAATGGTCTGTGGTGGGTGGCGGAGAGGAATGAGTAACAGGAGATAATTCTTGCACCAAATCACCATGTGACCTACAGCTAAGTAATCCAAGCCAGTCTCCAAGTACACACTCGCTGAGTTTGAGACCATACGAGTCATCTAAGAACCACAGTATTTTGTTATAATGAGTTTGTAAGATGAAGTTTTGAAGATTCCTTGAAGCAGAGGTACGATTCATGCTTGCACCCACTGTTCTGCAGGTTCAGTCTCCTGTCATAGCAGTTAGACAACAGCATGGGTCAGCAATGGAGCCTCAGTCCTGGGTGGGGTTAGTAGGTATGAGCCCAAAACAAAAGCAATATTTATCGATTTAAGTTGTGATTAGTGGAGTATAAACTGTAGGATTTACTGTGTTATCATTGTACATGATGATTCTTGCACATCAGTCTGACATTGTACAGTGTAGATTTCCATTTGTTTGTAACAGCTTTACCCTGCTGCAGTTTAGTGATTTCTCTGGGTTTACCTCTGATTAATGATCTAAGTAAGTATAAATCAATCTCCCAAAATCACAGTTTGCCCTCTGACTTCAAGGCTGGGTGGAAATGCTTTATAAAATCTTAATTGTCTTTGCTACTGTCCTTCAGTTACAGTAAGGAGTATTCCAGCATTTACAAAGAGCTTGAAACAATACAAATACTCTTAAGAATTATAGTATTTTGTTAATATATGGTTATTGAAATCTCAGTCTCTAAACTGTTCTCTTTTTTGAGAACAGACATAAGTCATTATGTCTACAGCTTGTAGCTGTGTGTTTCAGAATGAACATACATGTGGTTTGCACTCACTAGAATGTCATGAGAATGAACTGTGGATATTTATTCTTCTAATATTTTGGTTAAAAATGCTGGTTTTCTTTGTGGTGGTTAACGCAACATTATAGTAAAATGGAGGAAGCCTCTCATATTTGCTTGCTAGCATAGAGGCAGTCTGTGTTGAGAGGACCTGGTGCCAACAGTAGCTTTTACATTTCAGATTGTGTGAGCTGGATGTTTCCTAGTGGTTGGAGATCCTCTGGCCCAGACATGGCATGGGAGAGGAGTGCTGCAGGATAGGCTTGGGACACATGGACAACAGCTGAGTGCTGGTCCACAAAGCCATCACGTGGTCCTATGCAGTGTCACTGCATCGTAGTGTTGCCTTGAAATCTGTAAGAGTTGGATGTTTAACTACTTTAGAAAGTCTCATTTCATACACAGTGAGTGTCTTCAGTGCGTAAGCATCTTTTATAACTGCGAGTAGGTGTGGAGGAGCCAATGTCTGGGTGTGAAATGTACAGCTTGTTTCTGCCATGATCCTGATGTACATGCATGCACCTGGGTATTCTTAAGATTAGAGAAAGGAGAGAGAGGGGGCTCCTAAGCCTGCCCCAGACCCGTTAAGTCTGCTCCAGCAGACAAGTAGGAAATGCTCTTGTCAAATGCAGCGTCTGTCCGACAGCCACTGTATTGCCGGTACAGATACTCCTGAGCCTGTTAACAGGCCGAAGTATGTCTCAGGAGACTGCCACGGCCGTATGGATGTGCTGTTCACACCAGCTGGGGAGAATAGGAAAGGGGGTTGATGGTAGGATGATTTACTGTTAATCTAGTTTGGGTATCAGTGAGTGAAGGGTGGGCATCAGCACAGTCTCTGCAAGCCTTACAGCACCCTGGGATTTACTCTTCAACCTGAGCCCACTTTTCATACCATTTCATCCTCAGCAGTAAATCGATCAGATGAATGCTGGCCCCTGAACAGCTGACAGTGCAAACCGTGCACCCCCCAACTTTGGTTTAGGTATTACCTCAGAGAACAAGTGTTGGGCAACCTAGAGAATCGGGAAGGCTTGGTCTCCTCTTCCCCTAGCGCTGCTCCGCAGCACTGGGACAGCTGTGGTTGAGAGGTGGTGAATTGCTCCTCCTTTGAGTACCTGGGTGGGGGGGAGACGCTTGTATGGGTTCATCTGACCCAGTGGCCCCTCACATTCCTGCCAGAAAGCCTGACCTTTGAGGGCCCTAGCTATCAGCCTGGGTTGCTCGTCCACCCCAGAGAGCCTTCATTTCCTCAGTGCTTTCTGCTCTGCTGCCAGTGCTTGACACAGGGTGTGCAAGGAGAATGGTGACTTTCACACAAGTCTGCCTTTGGCATTTGTACACTGACCTTTATGCAGGAACATATCTGAAGGTTCAAGACATGTGAATGTTTTCAAATTAAGGGCCACATCTCCCAGAGCAACCGGTGGAGGAATGCTTTTCAAAGAAATGTCTGTCTTGAGGAGAGAGGGCTACATGTTTCTGGGGCTTCTGGCAAAAGCAAAGCAATTTTTAATCTGAGGACTCTGCTTCTAACTTGATCTGTAACATTTGAAAAATGTCACATACTTTCTTTGTATTTTCTCCCTGTCTGCATAATGGGAACAACAATACTTCCAACCTCATAAAAGTGTCACAGATTGCTATATGAAAGACTGCTGTGAGCACAGGACTTGAGGTCCTCTAAAAAGTAGTCATTAATGCATGAGGTATGATTTTGTTATTGTTGTTGTTGGCCAGTTTATATATATTCTTAGCAAACAAATGCTCAGCTCAATATTTGAGTCATTTTGCATTCTAGCCACTAATTACTTATTTTTTAAAACTTTAGAAAATCGTTTGAGTTTGAGGATGCATCAAGTCTGCAATCCCTGTACCCTCCTTCCCCAACTGAAAATGGGACTGAGAGCCAGCATAAATTTGGATCCAAGAGCACTTTAGAAGAAAATGCCTATGAAGACATTGTAGGTAAGAACCTCTTGCAGTACATGGGCTCGCAGCACGATGTTGAGCAGTTGTGGTCACTGTGTACTGTCGGAACATATGCCCTGCGCAAGAATGTTCATTATTGTCAGTAAAGAGAGATTAGATGGAGGATAAATGGGTTCGATGCATCCGTGCAAACATAACTCTCAGTCTGCATGCAGGAGGTCATGATTCCTTCAGACTTCATTGGGGTGGTGTTGGAAACAGTTTGGGCAGCTTTTTGCCATGCTTTTCAAGAACCAAATAGTTCTTTTTATCAAGACCTTGTCTTGAAGCCTTCAGTGGTGTAAAAATGTAAGAACTGAACTTGAGACAGTGTTTACAGAACTATCCAATAGAAGGATTAACCTCACAGGCCTTGTGTGGTCAGACTGAGCTTTTCAGGACTCCTGTGTGGACTGCCCCAAAGCAGTTGTTTGTAGCACTGTTCCTGGTCTCCCCTAAGTTCCAGTTGCTGGTTAAAGAAAAATTAATTTCCTTTAGCTATACAGCCATCAGGAATGCGCAACAAAAACACTGTTTTGATTAAGCTTCACAAGAAAAACATGTTTCTTTTGGTCTTACAAGGAAATGTATGGCCTATGCATACATTCTTTTAACATCAAAAAAATTGTTATAATTACCGAAAATTGGGCAGCTCTTCAGAGCACAGATTTTCCACACAAGTGATGAATATCTGCATTGTTTTTAACTCTTTCAGTGTTGTATTATTACAACAGATACAAAGGGTGCTTCATTTTACTTTGGACAATGAATCTTTATCTACTGAAAACTGGAGGGCTACCAAGATAGTCAGGGGCCCTAGAGCACATGTTCTCTGAAGAGACACTGACAAGCTGGGCTTGTTTAGTCTAGTAAAAAGGAGGACCAGAGGCACTCTAATACTGCTTACAAATGTTTGAAGGGCAAACAAAGAAAATGGAACAAAACTCTTCTTGGTCATATCTGTTGATACGGCAAGGAACAGTGGCCACAAATTGCAGCAAGGGGCTCTTTGTCCTTATACCCCAATTCTGTCTCTGGGTTGTCAGCCTCAGTGAAAACAGGAGCTTACTCTTTCTGTTTTCAGCTGTATTCCCCCTCTATGTCGTTCAAAAAATGCTTTCAGAACACAAAAAAATGCTGCTGTTCAGTGTCTGTTAATAAAAATTACAGTTTATGTAGATACTACAAAGTTTTTTTTTCTGTGGAAAGCAACCTTATATAATCATCAGCCTTCTCCATGAACAGTCAGACCATGGTGCAATTCATACTTGAAAATGTCTTGTGCATTAATGACAGTGCTCATCTTTGCTCAGGACCTGTCAACGTGCTGCCAGATGTTAGGTGATAATGCTTCATTTCCTTGCTTTGGCTTGTTAAATATCAAAATAAAATGTGCAAGACTGGTAAGAAGCTTTCTTTAGATGAGAAGAAATCATGGATTCAGTAAAACACAGTCATAATGGACTCTTCCAACTCCTGGGAACTATAAACCAGCTCCCTGCAGATTATAATTTGGGTATTTTGGCAGAGCAGTGGGAAGAGAATGCAAAATTTCAGATCTGTGGACATACACAGAACTTCATTGTTTTGTACTGCTTTTTAACAGCCACTTTCCGAAGTACTTCATTCAATTCAGTCAGTGCAGGGGGAATACCAGATCAGTGTAATTCTTATAAACTGTCAAGAGTGATTAAAGACAAGCCAAAGTAGTTTGATCTCCAGCTTTAAAGAAACTATCGCAGTTCTGTGTATCACATCTGCATAATTTATACCAGTAGTGCTAGATTCCAGTCTCTAAGTAGCACTTTTGTACTCATGCAAACCAGGTGTCTGTAACAGTGAGCTTATTTTATAGATTTACATCAGCTTCAAAGCTATAAAGGACTCCGTCACTGCTGCTTTGGGTTTTCTTTGCAAACAGTTGCCCTAGAGGTGGGGGTTTTATTTATACCTGGTTGAATCTCCTAATAACTTGTAGGTAGTTAAAACAATGTCACTGTAGTAATAAACTTAATAAAGTGTTTTATTGTCGCTGCCCCCCCCCAAGTAGAATTAAAATATTTAATGCAGGTGCTAAAACACAAGACAGAAAGGCTGTGAATCTGAGCAATGCTTTAAGCACTCCACTATGAGACAAAATTAAAAAAAAATATCAGGTTAGAAGGGACTTGAGTCACCTGTCCAACCTCTGGTCAAAGCAGGGCTAGTTTCAAAGTTAGATCAGGTTGCTCAGGGCTACATCTGGTTGACTTTTCAAAACATTTTAGGAGGATGGTTCCACTGCCTCTCTGTGCAGCCTGCTCCACTGCTCAACCTTCACTATGAAGAATTTTTTCTTGATATCACTGTGAAGGAATTTTTCTTTCTATCCAGTCAGAATTCCCCTTGTTGCTATTTGTGACCATTGCCTTTCATCCTTTCACTGTCCACCTCCAAGAAGTGTCTGGCTCTGCCTTTTCCATAACCCCTTCTAGGCAGTGGAAAACAGCAGTTGGGTTCCCCTCCCAGGCTTCTCTAGGCTAAACAGTTCCAGTTCTCTCAGCCGTTTCTCATTTATGTTGTGTGCTCCAGCTCCCAGCAGTCCTGGTAGCCTTGCTCTACACTATCTCCAGTCTGTTGATGTCTCTCTGGTACTGTGAATACTCCAGATGTGGCCTTGCAAGGGCCAAATAGAGGGGAATTACCACTTCCCATGACTTGCTGGCCACACTCTCAGGCCAAGGTGTGGTTGGTCTTCATTGACCCTGCATGTACTGTCGCAGGGTTATTCTGACACACGTGTAGGACTGTATTTGTCTTTCCTAAACTTCCTGAGTTTCCTGTTGAGCTGTTCCTTCAGTTTGCTAAGGTACCCCAGAACAGAAGCCCAGGTCTCCTGTCTGTCACTGTGCGCTCCAGCCTACTGCCCCGCAGCCAGACGTCTCTCCCTCATTGAAAAGCAGAGGAGAGACGTAGATAAGTTGTGAATTATCTATCAGAGAGTATCTTCTAAAAAGAATATTTAATGTTAGATCTTAGGTGTTGGAATGGGCTGCCCAGGGAGGTGGTGGAGTCCCCATCCCTGGAGGTGTTTAAGAGTAGGATCGATTTAGAGCTTAAGGATATGCTGTAGGTGGGAACTGTCAGTGCTAGGTGAACAGTTGGACTAGATGATCTTCAAGGTCCTTTTCAACCTAGATGATTCTGTGATATCTACAAGATACTGTGTGGGGTACTGAGTGCTGTCACTCAGACTTGTGCAATGGTGAAAATACAGCTGGTAAGCACATAAGTGTTAGGATTAGCATTGTTTTTTTGGGTACTGTATGACCTCCTTGTGTGACACATATGCACCCTAAACCTTTGTCATTCTCCTGGTGCTCTTACACTGTTTCCTTCTTTAATGACCAGGACAATGATGAACTTCTGTGGCTAGTTTATGGTGTTTTTGAGAGCTGACTTAAAAAACAACCCCCAAAACCAGTTTTAAGGTACATTAAAACAAAAAATGATTGTGCTTTGAAATACAGTGACATCATGAACCAGATGCTTGATTTAATTTTGTAATATTTTTGTACACTTTAATAGATGAAATACCTGAATGTTAAATTCAAGACAGGTATTGTATTGGGACATAAATGATCCATTCTGCATTAATCAAGAAGCAGTTGTATAAAGGGATGCACATTCCTAATACTAATCAGAGCTGTATTCCATGTGCAAGGAACCATGTGGACTTCATTCATCTTCTGTACTAGCACTCACAGGAATGTGGCAGTCATAGTATAAACTTAACATTGTTTTGCTTTTTGTGGTTTTGAATGAGTCTTTAATCAGACCAAAATTGATGTGGCTTTATGATTCCAGTTGGGAAAACCATGCTTGGCTTTGTGCAAATTCAAGGAACTATCATAGTATTAAGAGATGTCTGAGACAGTCGCTTCTGCTGTGTTTGTGGACAACAGTATTTCCTGATCATATGTACCATACGGTTTCAGTTTTCCAGTCTGTTCCCCTAAATGCAGTTGAGATTTGAATATTGTTATTTAAGGTCTGGTGTCTCTGAGGCATTTTTCACCTGATATCTAGAAGACAGCACTTACCATCACTAAAAAAGTTGAAGGAGTAAGGTGAAGGGCAAGGTTAAGGGCACAATAGTAATTTTGAGAAAATCCAGTAAACTCATGTAAATTATAGTGTGTGCTTGTAAAAGAAATTGCACTCAGTTCAGAAATCAAATACAGTGGAAGAAAACTTTGTCAAGGCAAGCCTTTTTACTCTGTAACTCCTCAGAGTGCTGGGCAGAGTAGAACAGGTGGAGCTTTCCTCTAAGAGGACACTACAAAGATGCGTAGGAGACCCATTGCTCAGCTGGGCTGTGCGTGTTGCATTGAAGATTGAGAATGTTTCATTTGATGTTGCACAATTCCATTTGCCCTGTCCAAGCAAGGGCTGTTTGCTCTTATAGCTGCCTGGCCCTCATTTAAGACAGTTTTTTTCCCCAAGAAGAAAGTGATTAAAATGCTTTTCCTCCCTGAAGATCTGTGACTAACAGGGTTTCTTGCTTCTCTGCTGTTTTTGAAGTAACAGGTGGACTATTCTGTATGCAGCCCAGGTGTATGAGTATCAGATTATTCATCTTCTAACGGGTGTAGTCTCTTACTTAAGAATAAGAATTTGTGTAAGAATGGGTTTATTTCAGCCACATACATTACTGCAGAGAGGTCTTGCCCCAGTAAGGTTCCCGTTCTGTCTGACTGGCTCACATGCAAGACCGGTGCCTGCCACTAAATTGCAATCATCCAAAGCACCCTTAGATAGAATTCTGTTAACTAACATGGAAGACAACACTAATGAATGAACCTCTTTTAGACTCCCCAGCTGGGATTAGGCTGTACTTTTCTCTGGGACAAGACTGGCTTGACTTTGTGGCTGGAGTTCTTCTGAGTGCTCACCATACTGCATGGCGGTGGACACAGCCATGCTCTGCCTGGCATGGCCACAGGCACTGGCATGTG